AAATGTGATTTTTGGCTTTAAAAACGACTTGAGATGACCACTGTCAACGTTCTAGGTAAACGACCTTGAATCGATGTTTTGACAATTCTGATAGGTTCGTATAATATTTTTAGACTTGTACGCACGTTTGGTTGGGGTCCGGGGTGACCCAAGCGCGTTTCGGCGCATTATGTGAAAGATTGTTAAAAATGAGTTTTCAAGTTGAAATCCTTGAGTTTTAACGTCAATTCTTGTTATTTGATGTTATTTTGATGATTTGAGATAGCGAACAAGTTTATAAGATGTTATTTTACTTGTGTGCATGATCGGGTTAGAGCTCAGGGACTCTATGAGTTTCGGATTGGTTTTGGATCATTTGGCCTTGTGTGACTACTAGTTTTTCTTCTGGTGTCTCAGTACCTCACGATCACGAAGCCACTCTCGTGATTCCGAAGGAGAACTATGGGGATGAGGCTAGTTTTTCTACGCAAACGCGAGGGTAGGCTCGCGAACGCGAAGTCTTGGGGAGTGTTAACCTTCACAAACGTGGCAGACCCCACGCAAACACATAGTGTTGGGGTTAATCTGGGGAAGGCAGGTGGCCTTCAACACGAACGCGACCCCTGGGACGTGAACGCGGAGGCTTGACCGGGGGAATAGCCTTCGCGAACGTGATGGAGACTTTGCGAATGCAAAGGCCAATGGACATGTGTGCTTCGCGAACGCGGCAGGTGCTTCGCGAAAGCGAAGAACACCTGACGCCCAGTTAAATAGGAACTCTAAGTCGGGATTTCATCATTCTACACCATTTTTGAAACCTAGAGCTCGAACTAGGGAGGTTTTTGAAGATATTTGCATCCCTACTTCTTTGGTAAGTGCTTTTAAACTAGTTTTGATATATTTCCATAATGACCTATTGATTTTTAACCTTAAATCTTTGAATTTCATGCTAGAAATTAGGGGTTTTGGGTAGAATTTAGAAATTTTATAAAATTGAGATTTAGACCTCAAATTGAGGTCGAATTTCGAAATAAATTACATAATCGGGCTCGGGGTGAATGAGCAATCAGGTTTTGGTCCGAATTTTAAATTTTGACCAAGCGAACATGGGATTGACCTTTTCAATTTAGCTAAAGATTGAATCTTTTTCACTCGTGGGTTATTTTTAAAACTTGTTTTGAATTGTTTGAACTATATTTGGCTAGATTCGATTGGTTTGGAAGCTTATTCTAAAGGAAAAGTCATGGTTGATCATTGATTTGGTTGCAAGAAGAGGTAAGTGTCGTGGTTAATCTTGACTTGAGGGAATTAGGACTTGATTGGTCTATTTGCTACTTGATTTATATGTGGACACGACGTATATGCGAGGTGACGAGTGTATATACGTAGTCATGGGTTAAGCATGCGGGTTGGAATATTTATGTGGTGTCTTCAATTATTTCATGCTTTCATCTAATCTATGTTATTACTTGTTAAATGCTTTAATTGTTACTTGTTCTTACTTGTTAAATTCATGCCTTTATGCGTTACATGCCTGAATTTATTATTTGTTTCCATGTATTTGTGCCTTTATTTATTAACTGCCTTTGTTTACTTTATGACTTTGTGTGTTGTTAGATAGATACTTTTATCCGCTTTATGTCTTAAATTATGAAATTCCTTTATTGCGTTTAATTGTGTGATACATAGTAGTTAGTTGTAGTGTGTTCATTTAAAATATTGTTTGGGATCGGGTTACACGTCGCAACAGATATTGGTATTATTGTGTGGAATCGGGTTGCACGCTGCAACGGATATTGATATTATTATGTGGGATCGGGTTACACATCACAACGCATATTGATATTATTGTGTGGGGTCAGGTTGCACGCCACAAAAATATTAGTAATATTATTTAGGATCGGGTTGCACGCCACGACGGATATTGATATTACTGTTTGGGATCGGGTAACATGACACAATGATATTTGTATATATATTTATGGATCGGGTTGCACGCTATAACGAAGAATATATGTTATGACTATTCTTGATTGTTGTTCTATATCTGTGTTGTATTGTGAATTGAGCATATGTGATATTCTGTGGGTCCTCTATTATGTATTTTCTGTTCCGGTTCTTATGTTAATTCTTGTTTTCTCTATTCTGATATTATTGCATTTATACTCGTATAAGTTTATAGTGAGTGTCTTGTTATAGCCTCATCACTATTTCATCGAGGTTAGGCTCAGCACTTACGGAGTATATTGTGTCGCTTGTACTCATACTGCATTCTGCACTTCTTGTGCAGATTTTAGGGTTGGTCCCAACAACGATTAGTGGAGGCTCACTAGGACTATCTTTCATGGAGATATCACTACCCTAAATTCTCACCTTAGGATGTCGTGATGGCACCTAGACTCTAAGACTATGTAAGCTTAACATACATTGAGAGTTAACAAAAATAACAACTTAGATATCAAATTAAACAGCTAAGCTATCATAATAAAACCCCAAATGGTACAACTGTCAAATAACTCCCAAAACCTGGTGGAGCTGCGCCATAATCTCTACAGAGAATGCACTAATAATCTCTAAATATAATACTGTTTTGAACTGAAAATAAACAGTAATACAACTAAAAATAGAAGGTGACTCCGAGGCTTGGGAGCGTCAAGCAGGTATACCTTGAAGTCTATAGAATAACTGGTCAATCACGGGCGTCTGACACGAGCGGATGTACCTGGTTTTGTGCAAAAATGTGGAGAAGTATAGCATGAGTATACCACAATGGTACCTAGTAGTAGTGACGAGGCCAGATCAGGACACCTACTGGACAAAAGAAAGCCTGAACAAAATATGAGTATAATCTAATAACAGAAAAGCAAGTAAATAAATAACCATAGAATGGTACGATGATATATGTCTAACAACGGAAATTAAGGCAATAAAGACAACAAAGAATGAACACATAATAGGAACAACAAGTGATGAAGTACCGTAAAAATACAAGTAAAAACAATGAAGAAAAGATAATTACTATTCAAATCAACAAGCCTTCTAACATAGAATGTACAACAAGAATCACAACCGAGGTAACACACCTCATATGCTCATTTCACAAGTTACAATCTCAATCTTTCCTTATATCACCGCGTGAGCCTTGCATTTATATTTTAAAATATTTTTTCCGAAATAGATACACGCATTTTAGCCCCCTTCCCTAACTAGAAACACGCGTATAAATCCCATCTTATCTCGCCACGTGCACATCAACCCATATCCTTATACTGATATATGCGCATCAATATTACAACATAATAATCAATTCATACTACACGTGCCCATAAGCCACAACGTTACTAAAATCAACAATATCAATGTTACCATAATACATAACCCACGGCTCAACCACAATGTGTACAAGAATCTCAATAACAACAAAATAAATGAGAAATAGCTCAACAAGAAAAGATATATCAATAGTTAACCATTTTAACCTCAATATGTTTATAGATTTCACAACAACAATTTCAATAACCCACAATTTAGGTATTTTTTATGGAATGGTAACTTCTAATTTAAAGTGCAAAACATAAGTTTAACCATGAAAGAGATAGCATAAAATAATAATCAAGTCTAATGCATGAGAAAAGCTCAATAATGGAAAGAATGACATGTTGCAACAACTACAAATAAATGCATATGAGAGTAACTATAAGATGTAATGACAACTTCAATTTAAGTCATGTAAGAGTAAAACTTACAGTGAAAGGTAGAATAGATAATAATAACGTCAATTAAGTGCTTATGAGTAATCTAAGAGTCTAAACCGATCAAATATCACATATAAGCCCGTGTACACACTCGTCACCTTATGTACACGTCTTTCACGTAATATAAATAGTACAATCAACCCAAATCCTAAGGGGTAGTTTCCCACACAACTAAGCCAAATCAATACTAAAAATAGCTTTTCCTTAAAATTCACCTTTGCACGGCTCAAATCAAACAAAAAATGACTTAATAACATCGAACAATGTAAGAGAAATCAATTGCGATTAATAAAATTATGATCTTTACACAATTTTTCAAAAGTCAATAAAAGTTAACCCCGGACTTGCCCGAGCAAAACCCGAGTTCAAGGGTAGATCTTGACTATCCATAACCCCACGAGTCTATATATATGTTTTGTTTTCAAATCCGAGTCCAATTCGACTCTTAAATCCCACATTTTTATTTTTTAAAATTTAGACAAAAATTCTCAAAATTTCTCTTTGATTCTCATAAATTTGATGTTAAATCTCATAGATAATCATGAAATATAGTTGAAAATTGATTAAAACTACTTACCCAATGATTGTAGGTGAAAATCCCTCCTACCGATCCTAGGGTTCTAAAATGAGAGAAATAAGGTGAAATCCCATCTTTCCGGCCCTTTGTTCGTTGTAGATGTTACAATACTGGTTTCGCAAGTTCGCAATTGTGAAGAAAGCTTCACAATTGCGGCTACTGATAGCCTATGGGGAAAGTCGCAAATGCGACATTGGGCATTATGGGGATAGCCTATGGGGATTTGACTAGACGGCATGTTGGGCATTATTATATCTATTTTGAAGTTCTATAATTTTTATTTCTTATTTAATTGCTTTTAAAATTGCTAAAAATTAATAATGTATAGTTAATGTTCGCTTGCCTAGCAGATGGATGCAAGGTGCCATCACCGGTTGAAATTTTGGGGAGATTTCTTAAATACATGTATGGTTTACTAATTCATTTTTTTGAACCATTTTCTTCAAACAAACACGTACGACAGTGTGAATTAAAGGTGTACTTTATACATTATATGATAAACAAACACATCTTTGAAATACTAGATTGTGTAATTATTGCACAACGTAACTACTACCCTACTAGTAACTACACATTGTAATTGAAGTGTTCAAACACACCAATGTGTTTTAAATGATATCGTTGAAAAGTTTTCCTACAACAAGTATGTACTTGACATTTTCAGTTTCTACTTTCCCTTTTCCTCTGTCTTTTCAAATATTATAGAAAAGTTCAAAAAATTTAAAAACTTCCGTGTAGTAGTAGTACTTATAGCTTAAGCCACCAATCTTTCGGATCGTCAGTCGACTCCTTTACCAGAGTAAGGAATAAAAGTTGGCCAAAGAAATCAAAAGCTTTCTTAAATTGTTATTCTATTTGGTACAAGACGTACTTTTGATGGTCTGTTTTTGCTTTCTGGTGGATCAGAGGTCAGTAGTAAAGCAGACTAAACCGTTAGCTGGCTCCTGTTCGAGATGTGGCCGTAGTGCTCACGTTGCTGATATGTGTAGAGTTACAAGATTTTGTTATATTCCTTTTTACTGGAAATCTTGGAAGGCTATTGTATGTAGCTTCTGTGGTGCTATTCTCAAGTCTTATAGATAACTATGTGCCATTAACTTAGGAGAGATCAATGGGATGAGCAGTTATCATTAGCACGGAATTTGCTTATAACAATAGTTTTCAGTCGAGTGTTTACATAGTCCCATATGAGGTTTTATATGGGAGTCAATGTCGTTTTCTATTTGGGTGCTTTGAACCAGGTGAAATGAAGCTATTGGGTCCAGATTAGTTCAGCATGGTTCACCTTCTTTAATTTTCCCCTTCATGACTTCTTTAACTATATATGGCTTATATTAGAAGTTAGGTTCCTATTGTGGATTTTCAGTTTTGTTTGAGCCAGCATA